AAACAAATTATTAGAAGTGTATGGTTACTACTTTTTTTTTTTTTTTTTTAAAGTCATACTGATGGAGTTTTTATTGAAGGATTTGTAGATGTACAAGATGAATTTTACAAAAGTGATTTTTATATCTTCTATACTATTCTATTTTATTCAATATTACTCAATTTTACTCAGTTATGGATACCATCTTGTTAGCTGTCCTGCTATGCCCAGGCCACTGGTGTTTCAAGGATCCATCAAAGAACTTCTTTTTATATTCAAGAAACTAATTGGAATTATTCACTTCATGGTTTTTGTATACCTTATGTGGAGTATATTTCTTATTTAATATTCTTTTATCATGTTTCAATTCTTAGAAGTTGATTGTTTGTTAACATCCTTCAGTTTTCATATGGTTTCAGCAGGTCTCTCAGTGATTATTGGTGAATTAGATTAATAACCATAGTTTTCTAGTAATCATTTTTAACCACTCTTCAAATATGACCTTGTAGAAGAATCCTACAGGTATCCCATCATAACTATTTAACTTTATCACATCTTATTGGTGGCTTACAAGGTTCAATCTCTGATAACCATTGATAATAATGATCTAAGATCTTCCAGTATATATCCAGTCCTTATATTTTATGGCTGGTATATGTAACCAAAGTCTTTCAGATCTCCCATGAGACTGGAGTTTTTGAAAAGAGATAGATTCTCTTTATAAGGCTAATAGGTTTCTGAGGCTTTTATCATTGTCTTTCTAGTATTCTTGGTAGCTTGCACATATTTCAAGTGACAGAATGTCATAGTTTTTCTTAGTGCTAAAACCAACTAGGACTTGTGTGACCTGATTTATGACATTGTAGTCAAATGGTGGGATTTGATAGGTCATTATGTATAGAAGTACATATGACTCTGAGCATGCATCTTATACAATGTGACCTATATTGTGAGAACCATTCTCAAGTGGGATTGAACCGGTAACTTATGAATAGTGACCTGAAAGTGTACCCACTGCACTATTGATCCACAAGTCTTTTTTACTTTTTATAATTCAATGAAAAATTATATATTTTATATAATATTTTATAAATAATTTCTTTATAACTAAAAAAATAAAATTAATTAAGATTTTTATATAAAATAACTTAATAAATTTTTTAAATTTTATTTTTTAAAAAAATTTTAGAATCTTTTTTTTTATATATATAAAATTTTTTGTTTATAAATTTAAAATTAAAATTAATAAATAAATTACATAATAATTTTAATATTTTTTTTTACATTTTTTTATATTTATGCTTTAAAAAATATATTATAAAGTTTTAAATAATTTGAATAATTTTTTATTAATTTATAAATAAAAATATGCATTTTAAAAAATTTCAAAAAGTTTTGTTACATACTGTATATTATATTTGAATTATAAAATAAAAACAATTTTAGAAATATTAAGAGATATCAAGACTATTTAAAAGAAAAAGAAGAAATCAAATTTTAAAAGAAAAAAAACAACTTCTTTTTCTTAAAGATAGAACAATAAAAAATTAAAAATAATACAGAATCTAGAAAATCATTAAAGAAATTATAAATACTTAAATAGTTAAAAAGTTTAAATAATTTGGTTTTTAATTACAAAAAGAACTTTAAAAAATCTACAATAATGAATTGTAAATAATGATATAAGTAACTAATAAATAATTCAAGTCATAAAGAAAGCAAAAATATTATCTTTTAATTGTATCTAAAAAGATATACTTTATAGATAGATAGGTTGATATATAAAAGTCACATTATTTTTATATTTGAACTTCAAACTTTAACTTAACTTCTTGATTTATGGATTATTGCAAAAAAATAAAAAAATTAAATATTAAATTATTAATTTAAATAATTATATCAGAATATTCTGGAAAACTTTATTTTTCATTCCTGATAGAATTTTCTCATTTTGGTAAGTCTCTACGTATTAAAATAGAATATGGGCATCTGTTATTTTACTATTTTGGACGATCAATGGCGAATAAACTTTTCTTAAGAGAGTTGCCAAAATCTCTATACTTTCGGAATGCCTTTCCCAGTTTTATCCATGGACTTACAATTCAAAAACGACCTCTTAGAGCCTCCTTTTTCCGTTCCTTTGCTCGCAAAAGTCAATTATTGGACACCAAAACAAAACTCGTCACCATTCCGATTCGTGCCTCTTCCCTTCCCAGGTCAGATCAACAAAGATATGTGTTTACAGCTAAAGGCAAGGAAGTTAGCTCGAGGTCTATACCCATATATCCTTTAATTTTTGTTCTTGCAGCATCGGCAGTTCTTGGACTTTATAAATATTACACATCTCCTATCTTTAAATATCCCAAAGAAATTAGAAAAAATCTTCGTCGAGGTCTTTTTTATCATCGCAAGGATCCAAATCGTGCGTTAAACTTCTACCAAACTGCATTAACCCAGGCATTTAATGACGAAAGATTAGATAATTCATCACCCGAGGTTACAGGTATAATGATTCAGCTGGGCGCTCTTTACGAAGAGCTCGACAGGATACGCGATTCTATTGATGTCTTCACCATGGCTTATGATGTCATTGTCAAGCCAGACGGTTCCTCTGTTAAATTGGATGGAGGGATGAAAATCAGATCAATTTCGCTAGCGCAAAAATTAGGAGATTTACATCAAAGTTTAAAGCAATATGAACAAGCCGAAAAGTATTATGTTTGGTCCGTGGAACAATTATTACAAGCTCAACAATCAGAACTTGTTCATAATCAAAGCAGATTCTTTTCAAGAAATAATGATGCGTTACTTCCGTCCTGGATGACACCAACCGATTTAGGTGCTTCGCTTGAAGCTCTAGCTTCTTTTTATTCTTCGCAACACAAATATACGTGAGTGATCGCAAGAAAAATCCAGATTATATTTTGCTTTAGGTGTACAAAATTAGTGTTCTCAACATAAACTGCATACAGGTTTCTCTTGTACTAATTGTACTGAACTCTGGGCCGACCTGTTATGGTGGTATATTTACAGCTATGCTCTCCCACTTTATCTTCGCGCATTATCCTTGATCAATCCACCTGAATCTTCTTGTCATGTTGCTGTTCTTATGAATAATATATCAGAAGTGTTCACTGGAATGGGTAATTTGGAAGAAGCACAAGGATGGGCTGAACGTGGACTTAAACTTGTGGAAAATTTCCAACCCAAAAGGAAAATCACTAGGGAGTGTGATGAGAGTTGTGGGGTATTGTTATTTAATTTAGGGATGATAGCTGAAGTATGTTCTTTAAATTTTTTAAACAGCTTTTTTCTCTCCTTTTTACTTTTGAACATTCGTGGTTAATCTTTTTTTTTTTTTAAAAAAAAAAAAAATAGCTATCAGGGGGCATAGGTAAAGCTCGTGATTACTATGAAAAATCTCTCCGTTTGGCGAAACAGATTGACTTCAAAGATTGTGTGAATGAAGCTGAACTCGCATTACAAAGGACTGCGGCATTGTTAAATGAACAAGCCCAATAAATCCAGGCAATCGTTTTTGGTTTGACCTAACAAGAAAAAAGCAATTATACATAAAATGTGAAAACTTATTATCTATCTATATACTTCAAGTAATATATAGTATTTTGTGCCTTTATCATGAGTTTATGTAATAAATATGGTCAAATTCTTAAATCATTAAATTTTGTTAATTTTTAAATATTTTGAATTTCGTTTTTTTCAACTTGCAATCAGGTTATTAAGAAATATTATTATTTTTTAAAGATTGAAAAAATAAAATAAAATAATTTTTTAATTAATAGAATTATTAAGTTATTAAGTTGGCTATTTATTTTAAAATAATAATAAATAAATATAAAAAAAGGTTTTGAAAGAATTTATTTATTTATTATTTTAAAAAAACTTTTTTATTTAATTAAAAATTAATTCAAATTATAAATTTATTAATTATTTGAATATATACTATAAATATATGGTTGCTTCCAAAAGTTTGAGTCCACTTACTATGTTTTTATTATAAATTTTAACTTTGAAAATTTTTAATCATTAATTATATAACCAAAAATTATAAAAATTATATATATTGTATATTGATACTTATTATATTCTTTAAAAGATTTTTTATTAATACATTTTTTATTTACAATAACAACCAATCAAAATTTTTCAAAAGTAAAAATTTGATAAAAAAAATTTTTTTTAACAATAATAAACTTTAAAAATTACGTATTAAAAATTTTTGAAAAAAATATAATAAATAAAACTAGTATTAAGATATAATATATATGAATTTTATAATTTTTA